TTATGGAAGAGCCTGTCTTGTCTTGACTCTGGAGGCTTGATTTGAAGGCTAGAGAGACCAAAGATTAATTTAGTGCCTTTAGCCTTTATAATATATGGTTTACGAGATATAAAGCTAGATGCACCAGAGTTGAGGATCTAAAAGATAGGTATGTTTGAAAATTGAAACACATGATGACATGATGTACACAGAATAAAATAGTGGCTCTAGCTAGACTGCTTAGTAGCTCTAAAACTAATTGCACTCCTACTAGATGATGAAGGGGTCCTTAATTTATCTAAAGTTATTGAGCTTTATAAGTAGCATTATGTGAAGGTAATAGTTTATTTTGCCAAATAATCTTTAGGCTTATGCTCCACAACATGCTTTGAGGGATTTGCCTCAAAACATGCCTCAATTGTATAATGCTTAAGCCTCACTTTGATTGCCTAGGTCTTAGTGCTTTTCTTTACTGCCTCCCACTCACATGAGCCTCAACGATGTCTTCTTACCACTAGGATAGTGGTACTAGACAAAATATGCCAATGCCAAAAGAATACACAACTTTTACCAAGAGTTATGTATGTCTCACTGATGGTTGAGTTATTCGGTAAGTCAACCTTCCCAATGAAGGGTTAGTTTTCTCCGAGTGTCGTGTCTCTCGAGGAGTGGACGAAGGGAATTAGCTAATTCTTCTAACTAGACGAAGGTTAGGACAAGTCTAGAAGTCTTCTCAATTTGATTTAATAAAAAGTAAACTAAACTAATGAGTGTTTTTGAGAAAAATAAAATAAATAGTACGGGTATAGGACTAGACTTCGGGCCAAGGCATCATCTGAGTTAACTACTGTTGTCACATATTTAATCAATAATTGGAATAATAATATTTCTGTCACAAATATTTCATTAACTTATCCTCTCTCAAGGTAACATTAATGTGTTCTAAAAAGTTTGGCTTAATTAATTTTATATCCTCATAGACAAGGCAAAAACTAATTTCCAATAATTAATTAATTTTTCTCTCGACATAATTAATTAATTTAACGATAAAAATAATTCTAGAACAATTATTCCAACTATTAAATAAACATACAGAGTATATGCCCAAATTTAGCCAGGACCCTAATTCGGGTCCTAACCCATACTAAATATTAACAGTGCATTAAGTAAAAGAACATTTCATTAAAAGTTGTAAGAATAAACTTACAACCGAGAGCAGAGTCGGAGCCACTTTGGGACAACCGGAACAAAACTAAACTAAAATATTAAAATATAACTGAGAAAAGAGCGGAGAATGGAGCTCCGGGCCTTAAAGACCCGGAAGAAGGCTTGATTAGAATGAAGGGGCGAAGCCCTCCTTTTATAGGAGAAATTTTCGGTCCACGCTTCTGACAGGCGTGGGCCTGAGGTCCAGGCGCACGCCTGAAGTGTTAGTGCGCGTGATGGCTTCCGTTTGCAAATCAAACAAGTACGGAGCATATATACTTTTTTTGTTTCTTCTTGCGTCACTACCTTCAATCTTTCTTTCTCATTTTTCTTTTAACTTCTTTTGATGGGGATGCCGGCCAGCCACTTGCTTTCTTCTCTTTTGCTGCTGTTGCCACAGTTGGCCGGCCAGCCAGGTTGCGCCACGTGGCAGCACCTGGTTGGCCGGATTTTGACCCGGTCTGAAAATATTTTCTAAAAATACAGTCTTGCTCAAAATTTTATTCTGAACAACTTTTCCTTCTGTGCCGACTTCAAATTCCGAATAAATCTCTTTGCTCCGTTGCATTCCATTTGCACAATCTTTTACACTTTTTGTACCACTTTTGACTCAATTTTTATTCTTTTTATAACAAGACATAACTTTTGTACACTTTTGCAATTATGAATAAAAACTTATAAAAACCATTGAGAAATTGATTTGTTTGATCTAAAATTGGACAATAACACATTAAATATAGAGAAGATAAGTGCGTACAAAATGGACTTATCACTCACACTGTCACTTTGACTGCTTCACATTAACTACAGAGTATTTTATATCTGAAATTCTGAATAAAATAAACTTTGGATACCTTTGGTATAGTAAGCTAATAAGCTATAGCCCTTAAGCACATTATGACTAATATGCAGAGTAAAATGAGTTCATAGATTGGTACAAGGGAATCAATATGCTCCTGAGTATTCTTTTATTACACTCATAGTGGTACTGAATCGGTGATCCTTGAAAAACATGCTCACACAAAAAATTCCTTTGATTGGTTGTTAGCACTACTAACCAATCGATTCAATATAGTACTCCCTCCCCGTCACTTTTTATATGTCCCATTTCAATTTACAATGTTTTACCAGAGTTATTTTCAAATAATTGAAAAGGAAGATAGACTTGAAGCCATGAAAGTAACCTTACAAAATGAAAACAAGTATTGGGCAACACGGTGCATAGGGAGGTAGTTGCCAACGAGAGCACAATAGCCTGTGTTTGGTGGTGGGGTCTTGTGATGAAGGGGCAAGCATGAGAGTAGGCTTTTTAGGACATGAGGGTAAGGGTTCGTGTGTATTGTTTTTACCTTCGAAAATGTTGTAATCTTTGACTGAACTATTTGATTATTTTATGAGTATTTGTACAAATATGAAATTTTATTTTATATCATGTGTGCACAATCTAAAAGTGCATGTTGGTAAATACTTTGCATTATCATAGCTCTCAAGCAAATTTGTTTATTAAATGTTACGCTTAACAGTTTCAGTTTTATGTAGTTGTTAATTGCAAAAATTGCCGTTTCTTATGGAAGGCAAAAGTAAGAGCCTTATGTGTAAGATATTTGAATCATTCAATTTGTGATAATTGGAATACTTGGTTGCCGTTGTAACTTAAAAAACAGAATTCTTTGTGATTATAAATAAAATGATGGCAACAGTTTTTCAATAGGGTCTAGCTGTTCTACTTAGAAAAACAAAGCAGTGAAAGCACCTTCAACTGGCAAATATATTCAAATGTTTTGATCTCGCATTCCCGTGATAAGGGCACCACACAAATGTTCTCATTTTCAATTATGTGGGAAAAAAATTGTTGCTAATTACTACCTCCGTCCCACTATATTCATCCTGTTTTGATTTTTGGAACTATTCATCTAAGCACTTTGACTCATCAAATTTTCTCAATGTGTAAGACTAAATATAGTCATGTGTGATCTTGTTTGATTTGTCTTAACATATAGATTATTAATATATAATTTCTATAATTTCTTAATATACAAATTACAAGATAAAATAAATTAAAGAAGTGCATTGGATGGTGTGTAAAAATGAAAGTGGACAAATACTCTGGGACGGAGGGAGTATATCTTATGTATAGGTATAAGGGTAAAGAAGATAGTCCATGGTGGTAGGTGTTGTGTGGGTCTGTGGAATGTTGGTTCTGTGACTATTAAATTGGCCGAATCGAGGAAGGTATGGTGTGAAGAGTGATTAATATTGTGTGCATTTATGAAACTAAGTGGGTTGGAGATAAAGCAAAGGTGATAGCACCTTTCGGGTACAAACTTTTGGTACTCAAGTAAAGAAAAGAATAGAAAGTGTTGAAATTATCATTGATGTGGTTGAAGTGTGCAAGAAGAATGATTGGATTATAATTATTAAGATGGTGATAGGTGATGAGAGTCATGAGACTACTGATGTTATTAGTGCATATGCACCTCAAGTAGGGTTGGATACCTCACTAAAAGAACGGTTTTGAGAAGATATGTAGCACCGACTCCACTGAGCATGCAATACCAAGGATACAAAGTCATGGGGTATAAAATTTTGAACAAACTTTACCCAGCCGGTTTGATTGACTATTGACCTGTGTCCAGTAATTTGTTTGGGGATGCCCATCCCACACTTGTATATATTCTCCTTTTGGGTTACTAGCATACTACATAAAATTTATAGTTCACCCAAAAAAGGATATCGAGTAGTGGGTTACTTTTCATTGGTGGACACTTGAATGCACATGTAGGATACTATGATCAACTTGAATGGTATGAATGGCTACAAAGAGATTTTATAGAAAGAAATAAAGCTGGTAAGATATTTTGGGTTTAGCTTTAGCGTATGATATGTTTCGGGCAAACACATTCTTTAAGAAAAGAGATTCACACTTGGCGACCTTTAGAAGTTCGGCAAATGCTAGCCAAATAGACTTCTTTCTAGTGAATAATGGGCTTAGAAGATCTTGTACTGATTGTAAGGTCATTCCGAGTGTGGTCATGCAACATAGACTCTAAGTGTTTGATTTCCATTTCAGAAAAGTGGATAAGCAAACGATTGAAACGAAACAAGTAGTTGATTCAAAAATAGAGTGGTGGCATTTGCAAAGAGAAAACAAGATTTTTTATAAAGGTAATTTAATAGGAAAATCAGTAGTCAGAATTGGATCTGGGAAAAGATAGCACAGGTCATTAGAAAAATGGCAAAGGAGATGTTTAGAAAATCAAGAGGAAATGGGTTACAAGAAAAGGACACATCACGTGGAATGTGCAATCTGCCAATCTTTAAAGAAAATTTTGTTAATGTATAGGGTTAAGTTGATTTTGCGGACAACTTTAGAATGGGAGGATTATGAAACATTCTAAAGTTATAAATTTGGACAACTCAAACAACAAACCACACAATGTTCTCCCTTATCTCTAAGTTCTTTATAAATATTCTAGGCGAAAACGTGTCATCCTTCTTGTTTCAGTTATTGCCAATTGGCTTTTGTTCTCTTTTTAACCACTAAATAGAGTGTGATAATTAAGATTGATAATCCTAAAAGTGAGTTTGTGTAACACTCGTAATAGGGATGTACCACATTTTTACAGAGCATGAGCTTTCCATTCATGCCATCTTTGACTAAAATGTTTGGTTATTTTAAGTGTTAATTGTACATGTAAATATATTTGATACAGTATTATTTGTTTACAATTGTTGTTGTCCCAAAAATGTAAAGCCAAAAAACTAATAGTAATATGAAGTGCTGTTATAGCCTATAAGAAACATAAATAAAAGACCTGTAAGAACAAGAAGAGCAGAAATCAATGCTGACAGTGTTTCGTAAGCCTATTGCTCCAGTCCGACCACTACCACTCTGCAATATAACAGGTAATCCCCACCAAAGTTGGTGTCATCAACTACGCATTAGACCCGAACAAAAATAAGAAAATTACGAGATCTTAAACGGACCTGTGTGGGGAAATCTAGGGTTTGAGGTTGTTGGATAACTGGTGCAGGCGGTGAGTGGTGATAGACGGTCGGTTTGAGAGGTGGCGGAGAAAACAGGCGCAATATGTCGGAGCAGAAGATGAAGAGGGGTAACCCCACCATAAGCAGCTGGGCGCGACCCATCATCGTTGCTGAAAATCTCAGAGCCTGAAAGTCCGCAAACAATGGAGTATGAAGGGAGGAGTTCAGAGGTGGAGCTCGAACATCTTGGCTGTAAAAAAACAATCTGATTCTTGGGCTATGGTGGAATCTGGAAAATTTGGTAACCAGAAATAAACGAACCGAATCAAATCGAATATTCATAAAAATATTCATATTCTTTAAGATGGAATGATATTTGAATTCGAATTCGAATTCGGTTAGAATATTTTTTAAGATTCGTATTCGGTTCGTTTAATATATTAAACATATTCGATTCGTTTAAATATTCTATTTGTTTAAAATATTCAGTTCATTTAGATTTTAAAATATTTTATAACCGTTTGATATGTGTGTGTGTGGTTCCCCCTGTAGTGATGGTCAGAGGGTTGATTGGTGAACCACACCACTCGGGTTCGATCCCAGAAAATGCATATTTGGAGGAAATTTTAAAGAGTTAAGTGTGCTGGCATGGGAATAGCAAAAATGATGGGTGACCCCCTGGAAGTAGATTTGGGCTTATGGGACTGGGCTTTCTATAGTGGGCTATCTACCTCGGGTGTTAACGAGCCTCGAGACCCCTTCTTGTAACCGACCATTCATTATTTTAAAAAAAAAGAAAAAAAACAATATATATATATACACACACACACAAACACACACACACACATATGTATAAAGGAAATGCAAGACAAAAGAGAAAAGAAATACTTCAACATAACAAAAAAGACATAAAAAGGTGTGTATTTTTATTATTATTATTTTATTTTAGTGATTCAACATACATCTATAAACAACCGGAAACATCATTCGTAAGTTTCGTAGAAATAATGATATGGGCAATTAAAGTGTTAAATTATCGCTTTAGAATTTTCATGCATATGTGTTTTTTAGATATTATCTTAATGCATATTTGTTTAGATTTTTTGTTATAACTAAGAGGGGTGTATTCAATCGAGATTCTGCAGTATTTTTTAAGATTTCAAAGGTCTGTGGGTATTCAATTCGGATTTAAAAAAGTCATTTGAAATCTGTATGTATTCAATTCAGATTTTAAAATATCCTGCTAAATCTAATCATTTAATATAATATTTGAGAGTTAATAACCTAGAATATTGACACGTGTACTTAAAGGGAGTTTATTTTATTGACAAACTAGTGTTCTGACCCGTGCAACGCACGGGGTCGAACGAAACTGTTGTCGATTTTGAAATTTTTCAATGAAATATTTATTCCAGAATCAAGTAAATATATTTCTGTCACAAATTTTAATCAATGGAAAACAACGACAAAGTAGAATATAATATTTGAGAAATTGAAAGTGTACTCGAAAAAATCTTTTTTAATTCCAAATTTTTTGAAAGACTTTAGTGTACACAACATTTTTTGTATCGTTGTAAGCGTTTTTATTTTCATCTAGAACCAATATTTTTAATCATGTCTTTTTCTTTACTCGTGAAACAGTAACATAAAGCTAACCATGAGTAAATCCCGAATTGGTTAA